AAAAGTTGTCGGGCAATTGTTGGAGATTCCAAAAATAATATTATATACAGAGTGTTCCATTTGAAAAATCAAAGTTGCTACTGCTTTCTAATAGAAGCGGCAACACCGCATTGTCGAAAATATTTTAGTTGGCTAGAGAATGTCCGAATATGCCCTCCATTAAATTTTCAAAGTGATCCGTTGTCTGGTTCACCAGAAACTTTTTATGTGCCATCCACCGTGAATCAGCCTGTATAGTAGGGAGGGTGAGTGTATATGCACAGCATATACACTCACCATTTCTTTATATAACCTGGAATTTTCCGAAAAAATTTAAAACCCCAATATTTTGTGTCACACAAAGTCAACTGTATCTGTAGAGTAAGGAGGGTGAGTGTGGGCCCACAGCTCCTATGCCACATGTGACCCATTGTACATCCTCCCGAGGAATTGTCCTCCTAGGTCATCGTCCATCCTTTCCTTTCCAGGAAGGTGGACAGGTCACTAGGAAACATCTCTTTTATATCGGCCCGTGTAGGCCAAGAATCGCCGATCACACACTCTCTTTGGCAAACTTGAGGTATCTCACGGCAGCCTCCGCGAAAGTTTTGGAAGGTGCAGCGACATTACTGTCGTTGCGCAGCTTCTTCCACCTTCCTGGGGTTCCCCTGATGGAGGTGTTCAAGTGAGGGCGCTTTCCTGCAGGTGCAACCGGTTCCTTGCCTTTATTCAAGGCGGAGATCTTGGCGCCCGCCGCAGGAAGTGTCCTCGCTATTGGAGGTGGAGTGGGGGAGAAGAAGGGTGCACTTATAGTTGCTGCCACTCCTATCTCTTTCGCTCTCTTTCTTCTTTTGGCCTCGGCGACGCAAATGCGCCGCCTTTGTATTACATCACGAGGTGACTTGCTATGTCCAGCCTCATTCCGAGCGGTAGATTGGGGTGGACATTTCTGTTCATCTCCCGCGACCGCCATAGATTGAGGTGAGCACTTCTGTCCAGCCTCGGAATTGGTTTTTGTTGTGTCTGTTTGTTTGTTTCATATATGTGTGTTCCCACGAGTAGCAAGGAAAGAGTGGGTCACCCCTGGCAGAGCCCCGCATTACCAGAGGAAGGCTGATTACAATGAGGTTTCGCCCGGTTCCCCAAGGGGATTGTTCGTAACCGCATATCACCCTGCGGCCATTCAGGTGTCGGCACGATTCCTTACACCTTAACTTGGGTAGGCTGGTCCAAGGTGGCATGTTTCGCAAAGACTTTTGGGGAGTTTTAGTTCCCCTCACCCTACTTATTTCTGCCACTGACCAGGAGTCCGGCGATCACGTGCGTAAGGCCACATATTGGCTCCCGGGCAGGGCCCACAGTCCCCTGGGCGTTCCCTTATCCATCACCTGGGGACGCGCCCGATAGGTAGCCCAACCCACGTTTAGCACATTCATAATTTTGGGCATGAAGCGTGTAGCAGCGAAGTTCGTTCTAAAATTGCTGAATTTTTATCAAAAAAGCCGTCGCATGAGTGTCGCTCGGGAATTGTTGAATAACGTCAACGGAGATCTAGATTTGCAAAAAAAGGATCATAACTGAAGACGAATCATGGGTATATGGTTAACCAAAGTCCAAACATGGCGATCCAGATTTGCTTAAAAGGGTCATAACTGAATAAGAATCATGGGTTAATCAAAGTCCGAACATCCAAATGGAATAACCCCAGGAGAGCCAAGACCAAAAAAGCCAAGTTCGATCAAATGTCAAGGTTATACTCACTGTTTTTCTCTATTACCGTGACGTAGTGCATCAGGAGTTCTTGCCACATGGTCGTACTGTCCCTAAGGAGTATTAACTTGAAGTTATGCACCTTTTGCGAGAATCAATGCCAAGAAAATATCCGGTATTGTGGAAAAACAATTCATAGCTTTTGCATCACAATGATGCATTCACTTGTCATTGTTTGTTCGTAATGTTTTGGCGAAAAACAACATGACTCAGCCACCGTATTCACCAGATTTGCCCCCCTGTGACTTTTTCTTGTTCTCAAGATTGAAGAGACCCATGAAAGGATGGCATTTTGCGATGATCGAGGAGATAAAAACCGAATCGCTGAGAGACTTCAAATACATACCAAAAAGTCCATATCAAAACTGCTTCGAGGATTGGAAAAAACGCTGGCACAGGTCTCAGAGGGACTAATTTGAAAAAATCAGTATTTTTGAGAAAAAGGAAAATCTTTCTTTTTTTTCAACAGACCTCGTATACCCCAAAGAATAATATCAAACTTAATTCTATATACAAATTAGGTTTTTTAGAATGAAATAACGAACTCTTATATAGATTTGAAAACTTGGATTCCGTCGGAAAAGTGCCAAGATGTGTATATACCGAGCAGTTCAGAAGTTATTTCAGAAATGATGGCACAACGGATTCTATAAGTTTGAGTTACGATCCACCCCGTAATTAAAAAAATATGGTCAAATTAATATTCCGAGAGGAAAAAAAAACATTATTTTATATCTTTATAATAGAACAGACTATTCAAATGAGTTTTTTTATACTAGTAACAGTTGAACATATCAATTTATTTATGTTATTTCTAGTATAACTTCTGAGCCGTTCTGTAAATGTGTTTTATAAAACTCTAACTATATCAAATATTTTTTGATAACTTTACCTGAATTTTCTAATGGAAGCTCGATTTGACACAATATATACTACTATAATTTGACAAAAACCTAATTGTGTATTCTAAGAATATTTTGAATAACTTACCCTTGTCCTGCTTCACTTGGAGGAGATTTTTCAATGTATATATCGAGAAAAGACTGAACTTGGGCATTACTAATAGCGAGTGGATTTTTCTGTAGCCTGAAAATACAGTGCAAACACCTATCAAAACATGCAATGTTTATTAGGGTACAGACTGAATTTATAAAAACCAAATAAGCACAACTTTTTGGGCAATTTTTCACCTTTGTAATTATAACCCACTGGTTAAAATTCAGGAATATCAACAGTACCCCTTTGTGATCATCCTCTGAGATGTTATGATGTATCAAATACGTTCGATTTGAATTTAAATCAACAAAAACAATATTGGGCTTGTTAGGAGTCTGTTGATACACCCTTTATAAGACAGACAAAAAGACAGACAAACCTATAAAAGTTACAGTCGTTTCAGTATTAATTCATTAACAGTGTAAACATATTTTTTTGAAAACTCAACTTCAAATGTTACCTACTAGTTTTTGATTTTGAAGAAAGTAATAAAACAATCATGAAACTGGTACTTTTATCAATGAACTCTCCTACACAAACTGGCAACCAGACCAAAATTTAATTTGTATGACATACATGTATTGTGTAAGGGTTAATCTAATATTGACACCTACATCCGATATACAGTGCATTTCATTTAAAACGCAAAATTAAAAAACTCGTCAACCATAGTATACAGGAGGACACATTTTGACATATTCACATTTGATTTTACTTCCCCTATCGCACCCCCAGGACATGTCACCATTTTTTTTTTTAAATCTCCCCAAGTAGAAAGCTTCGATATTATTTCATTTCATAATATTTATGACATATACATATGGTACTTAATATTGTATTAATAAAAAAAACTGTACTATTGGTTAATAATTATCCTCTAATGTTTGACTGACTAACTTGAGTTTTTATTCATCCATTGAATAGAAAGAATACCTTGTTTAAAACCTGAGAAAGAATTTCATATTAAGGTGAACAGGAGAGCGTCATACTCATTCAATTATTGCACAGCCGTCTCCATATCCAGCTGTGGTGAGAGAGAAACAGCAACACTGTCCGAGATCCCATGTTTTGGAAGTCTCATTAATCCATGAGAAATTGAATAGTGTTTTTTGTAGTTTTTTTGTAGTTTCACACCTTTGTATCAATAGTAATATATGAGTTTTTTATTGTGAAAATTCTATAATTATTATTATGAATAGTAAAACATTCATTATCCAAATAAATATTATATGGTTGACTGAAAATGCACTCTGCATGCTATGATCGTTTGAAATGAAAATAAATAAAAAAGTTGACATGAAAAAAAACATGAAAACTGCAAATGGTTTGGTGTACGTGGAAGATATGATATGTAATAACAGGCAGAAAAAAAATCTAAAAGTCAATTAAATGTTTATCAAAAGAAAATCATGAATGACTAATAATGAGTGATTTTTTTGCCGGTATCTTTTTAGCAACACTGTTTTTGACAGATCACGCGTGAATCGTGTCTTGTGTCATTGTCAAACTTGTTCCGTTTGGTCTATAATTTAACCATGAATCGACTTACGAATGAACAACGCTTGCAAATTATTGAATTTTATTATCAAAATTCATGCTCGGTGAAGAAAGTGCATCGTGCACTTCTTCCAATTTGTGGGCAGTTTCGTCGGCCTACTGAGGGAGCTATTCGGAAGCTTGTGACTAAATTTCGAACCCAGTTTACATTATTGGACATTAAACCACCAACACGCATGCGTAGAGTGAGGACCGAAGAAAATATTGCTGTTGTATCCGCCAGTGTTCGTGATGACCGTGAAATGTCGATTCGCCGCCGTTCGCAGCAATTGGGCGATGATTGACGACTTTTTGTTGCCCAAAATGGAAGAATTGGACATGCCTGACATGTGATTTCAACAAGACGGTGCCAAATGCTACACGGCATGCGAAACAATGGCCCAATTAAGAGCCGCCTTCGGTGAACAGGTTATCTCATGTTTGGGGCCCGTCAATTGGTCGCCTAGATCGTGTGATTTAACGCCTTTGGATTATTTCTTGTGGGTTTATGTTAAGGTTCATGTCTACAGGGATAAACCAGCAGACTGACGCTCTAGAAGGCAATATTGAAGCTTTTATACGTGAAATACCGATCGATATGTTAGAGATTGTGTGCCAAAATTGGACCTTGCGCATGGGCCATATAAACCGGAGCCGCGGACAACATTTGCATGATATCATCTTCAAACATTAAATCATATTGATCGTTCTACCGATTTCAATAAAGATTTCATCAATTTTTTCAAATTGTTTGTGTTGTTTTGAAAATCAAAACCTCTTAAAAAATCACCCGTTACTTGATTAAAATTGTGCCAGATTCAATATCAAATATCCCATTTCAATGTACAATGCAAGTTGAGTAATTTTTCGATAAATAAAAAAATGTATATGGCTATCACGAAATTCCCCACATCTATGATGAAAAGAAGTATACCAAGCATAAGTGAAATTATGTAAAATAAATGACAACAAGAGCCATACAATGATTCCAGCGGCTCTTTAACATTTCAATACCACTTTTTTAGAACGATTTATCTTCTGTCTCAAAATAGGAAACTTAATGAAAAGAAAATACTTAGTCCTTGAGCATTCGACTGCTTCAACCAAGAGATATAAATGAAAGGTATATGGTATTAGGTAAACGATTATAATAAAACCAATTAGACCATCAAGTTTAAAAACTCGGCTTGAATAGATGGAAAAGAATCACAATATTACAATATACTACACTACCCAATGGGATTAAACCATGTAGTTTATTGCAGCTGATAAGCCAATACCATTTAGAGTGAAACATGCTATACACTAAATCCAAAACCAGCTCCTGAAGAAGCCAACTTGGTTGGTGAAACGCGTGTCGATAAGAGTGTTGTAGTTCTAGTGTTTGGGACAAGTGATTTTTTTTGGCACGAGACATTGATGAAAACAACTGGAAGTCTTTTCAAAGTGATTACGAACAAACTTGGTCGAAAATATAGACCTGAAAATGTAATAAAAGCAGAAATACCTCAAGGAAATATTGTAGGTCTTTTGTTATTTATTACATACATAAACAATTTACACAATCATTCAGACATAGATAAATTCATTACAGCTTTTTCCGAGGGATCTAATTTGTTAGTGGAATTGTATTTGAGTAACACTTTGGGAGATTTTCATTTGAGAGTTTACAAAACCGCCACATGTGTTCAACTATACAATAGCTTTTTCAAGCGTGTTCGTACTGAACATGCCTTCAAAGTCCCAGGATTTCTACCACGACCTTGAACATCGGACAGAACTTATTGGTCAAAGGTCATCTGGATGACAGAGAATGCACCTTCACTATTGACACAGAAGCCTCCAGGTCGGTGGTTCGGCCAGATGTTTTCAGAAAATTTGTTGAGTCAGTACAGAAATACTTGGTATTGGCAACAACAATGGTAAAAATTAAACTAACAATTGGAATTAACCTAATACATACAAGAGTAAATAGGTTCAACTCACTTCCCATCTTAGAAGTTATTTTTATGGATGAATGCGTCACTGGTCTCGAAATTATGAAACAGAGTTACTCCCGTGGATAACACAGTTCCGCAGTATAACTTTGAACAATATTTCAAAATCATCATACCAAGTAGATAGGACTGGCAAAACGGCCCACCGGTAAAAGCGGAAGAAACTCAGATGGCTCGAAGACCCAAGGAGTGGGAGCCGGTATATACGGAGGCGGAGAAAAAACGAGAATCGCACTTAGCCTCGAACATAATGCAACTGTGTTCCAGGCAGAAATAGCGGCCATCGAGAACTGTATAGGGGAAATAAACAGGCAGAAGGTCACAAATAAAACCATAGCCATTTTCTCCGATAATTAAGGAGCTCAGCTCATTTCAAGTCTTTTGGAGACTGGTGGGAAGCTGTCTGAGCGCAATCAAGGAGCTAAGTACCCAAAATAGGGTCACTCTAACTTGGGTACACGGATATGAGGGTCACAAGGGCAATGAGGAGTCCGATGTTCTAGCCCGTGAAGGCGCATCCAAGGCTATGATCGGCCCAGAACCCTTCTGCGGGGTAGCGAAAACATGTATAAAGACATCCATGAATTCATGCAAACCGAATCGATAGATTGGTGGAATAAGCTCCCAGGAATGAGGCAAGCGAAATAGTTCATGAAGAAACAATCGCCCAGATTCACGGAACACTTGCTAAACCACAACCGTAGATTGCAAGGCTGAGACACCCAAGATGCGGAGAAGAGGAACCAGAAGCTGCCAGCTATGTGAAGGGGTCAGTGCCAAGGCTATGGAGTAATTAACAGACCGCCCCCGTTAGTCGCCGGCAGGCGAATTAGGTAAGTATAACACTAACCAGATACACTCTCTTTCAGGTAGGTTCAGCGAAGAACACTTCGACCGCGATCGCGACTCTAAAAATGTTTCTTGGATGCACTGAGAAACGCTCGATGCATTAACAGAAAGCCGCCGGTTAGTTTTTGGGGGCCCCCATGCTTAAATTCAGTTAGGAATAGTCAGATAAAACAACGATTCGATAAGAAAGTAAAAGCACCTAAAGGCTGACTTTCGACCAAAAGAGGTCAGATGTCAATCTTGCTGAAGTGCCCATCAGCAAGTTGAGGACCGCTCGGAGAGCGGGGGTGGATGGAGTGGGGTAGTAGATTCTCCTCGCTAAATAGCTGGGGGAGGAAGCTTCTACTTCAGGGCACTCAACCCGGGAGGGGGCATGGGGGGCTATGGAGTATCATCAAAGAGATGACGCTAGACAATGAGCTCTAACAACCAAGGAGCATCTGAAAAGGTCGCAGTGAATCAGGCCATAGGCTAGCTCCCCAACAATCTAATCTAATCTACTCCATATTTTGAATAAACAAGAGAGAGTTTTGAAAATGACGACAAAAAAATTAGTAACCTTTATTTGGTGTTGATTTTTCCTTCCACCTTTTCATGATACTTATGACAACAATATTGTTCCCTGAACAAGCTTGTAGAGTTCTTTTGTTGGATGTTTCGTCATATTCATCTGGATATCATAAGATCGTTTACCTTCAGTTCCTAGGTCAGTAGAATTTTGTACAGGTGCAGACCCGAATCACGACACAAAATTCGCCAAGCTCTCATTCTCTCTCTAGGTTTTCTTGGTCTTTGCTTCCGTACGGCGCATTTAGCCAAGTTTACCAAGTTGTGGTCTGCGAAAGGTCGAGTTCTTGTGAGCGACGCGAAATCGACTACCTCGGATTCTCCTGCACATTCTCACAGACATCGGCGATGTTTTCGGCAGACCTTGCTAAATGAATTCTTCTAGAAGTGAAAGTCTAGTCACTTCAATTTCACGTATATATCTATTTGGGTGTGTTTTCGTGAATGAAAAAATCTGAATAAGCTATGCCTAGTTAAAAATTATTACATCAACCAGAGAATCAAACGATCGCAGAAAGAAATAGTCAAGTTGACTTCAGTTGAAAATGGAGCTAAAATCAATACTGAAACGACTTTCATAAGCAGAAAAACTGATTGAAATAGTAGAAATGAGATAGATAATCATTCAAGAATCAGCGGTTAAAGAATGTTCATTGTTTTCCAAACAAACCAAGTAACCGAAAACTCACTTACCTCAGATTTTTCGATCAACTTTTTTTTAAGAATAACAAGAAACTTAGAATTTGGGTAAGTTTCATAACATAAACTCGTCTAGTCTTAAAAAAATGCACACGTCAAATTTTGAAGTGAAGTATCGGTATTTAAAACACGTTTTTAGGCGCAGAAACACAATTTAAATTGTGTCTTTATTCGGTCAAACAGGCAAAAGCTTGTTTGAAAATTAACAGTTAAATTTGCCTATTCCTGAAATTGAAGAAAACATAATAAACATATCAGAACAGTTATAACTTATCTGGAATCAAATTGAGTTTGCCAGCTTCAAGTTACAACATAATATCGTGCAATTTTCAAAGACCATTCCATGAACTGAATAATTATTGGTATCATTTATTCAAATGCTGTAGTAAAGAATGCATATCATGAGGCTAATTTCGATTTATAAAAATGTTTCCACATGCACATACAAAAAGAATGGATCAATTGTTATGTTCCAACTAAACAATGTTTGGATAGAGGATAATTTGCAGTAAACATTCCAAACTGCTAAATGAATTTGTTGTTACCGATATTGTTGTTAAAACTTTGATTTATTTAATATTTTTCATTTGTCTACCAGCAAATTGATAAAACAACCAAATTCAAGAACAATATATTAATATAGAAAGTAGAATAACTATGTTAAATGTATTATAATGTAATAGACAAAAATAATGTTCAATATTACTGGTTCCGTAATCTTAAAAAGTGTTAACAAATTTCAGATCTAAGTTCATTGAAAAACAGAAAATACTAGGATTGAAATATTCAGATCAGTTGATCAGATCAGAAATTAAAACAGTCCACAAGAAGCCTGGAGCCTGATTGAGGATACGTTCACGACACTGATGTGCAACCATGGAAACATCAAACTAGACGCATTTGACACCTTCGATAGATCTGTAGGTAGGTCCAAAGGTCGCATAGGTCCCTCAGTAGGTTGATATCTCTGACCTAGATCTGCGACTATATACACCTACACCAAAATTGGAAGATGTTTTTGATGCATCTGTGAACCAACTCTACTACTAGGGATTGGGATTATAAAAGAATATGTCATAGTTAACAGTTGGAGGCATTAAAACGTAGATCATTTCCAGAATGTTGTCTATCCAGCCTTCTCCAGAAAGATGTGAAGAGGAGGTAGGTTCAGAAAGATTTACATGCCGTTGATGGTACGGTGCTAATTGCACCATAGATAACCAGGCAAGCATTCCAAATATTTGAAAATGTGTTGATTGAAAACTTTTCGATATCACTGATAGATTTATAAGATGAGTCGAATAGCCCACAAAAAACAAGTATTAGTTCTTTGGCGCATTTCTCAAGTACGATGATACATACCATGATTAGTTTCGTAACTGATCATGCACTCAGTCTTTGCCACATCAATGACAGACTCGACAAGGAATAGAGCCATATCAACGGATCTTCAAAAGACGGAATACTCCATGAAGCTGTTAGAACAGATAGCCAGAGGACAAGAGCTCCACAAGAAATAGAAACTACTACAGTAAAACGCTAAAGAAATGTTGAAGATGATAAGCAAAAATGGATCTTAGTGCAACTATTCGGTATAAAAAAACGTGTTTGCTTTCTACATCTCCATCAGTAAAAAAAAGTGGGAAACTTTTGAAGAAAGGCGCAGAATTTTCTTTATGATCAAAACTTTCAAAACAACTACTTGCACATGAACGTTGAATTACACGAAAAAAAAAGTCCTTTCGGAACAAATACTTCCATATGAACGGTGAATGCTAGGAAAATAACTTTTTTCATTCACCATTAGAACATAAGAACCTTCTTCAGATCCAGACCCACAATCCGTAACAGTCACCTCCAAGCCAAGACAACAATTGTACACACTCACTGAAAGACCCACATTTAACGGATACATCAGTAAAACCAAGAGGCTGTTGAAGGTAAAGATTGGCTAGCAAAAGAAGAGCATCTAGCAAGGAGAAACCAGCAATTTGGGAATAGCACGGCTTGTTTGAACCTACAGGCGTAACTAAATAGTTTTCAAGTATTGAGATCAAGTCAGTCATTACCTGAAGATGGTTCTCAGTTTAAAATCCTTTTATATGTAATGAAATTGACCGATACTTGATGAATATCCATAGAACATATTCAATAATGCTTTACTGTGAAATTTTCACAAAACAGTTTGAAAAATGCAATACTGCCTAATGTTATGTAATTAAAACTGTCTGAATAAGCTATCATGTAGTCAAAATACTGCAGTAAAGTGTTACCAAATATGCAAAATACTTTTGTTTTTTCTAATCTATATTATTCTTCTATTTCAAGTAACAACAATTTTTCTTTACAAATTAGTAATTCTATTTTTATATTTTATATTCTTTGTTGATTTCTTCTTATGTTTGTTGGAAAATATTTCGTAGTTTGATTACCTCATTCAAATATGTCAGTCTTACAATTTTTTATACTCTTTAGACATCTATAAAGTAGAATCATAGTGTTGATTTTTACTGTGGTAGAATATTGAAAATATAATGTGTGTTAGAAGTCATTCTCAAATACGAAACAAAAAATTATAATTTGAGATAAGAACGAAAAAATGAATTTTTTTAAATTTCTCACCAATTTTTATGAAGCTGCACTTATATTGTTCATTTTGTGAAAATTAATTTCCACATCAAAAATAGAAAGAGAGATCTGGAAGCCATGCGATTCTTAGTTGTAACTCATTGAATGGAGAGTTATGTTTCATTAATCTGGAGAGATCATAAAGAAAAAAGTTTGAGACCGGTTTTTTTTGGAGTTCACCAGTTAGTAACATTTGCCGTGAAGTTTCTCGAAAAAAAAAGAATGTTAATAATTCATGTCATCTTACCTCCGAGGATTTTTTTCTGCAGAAGAACTAGCCACTGGATTGACTCTGAAAAGAAATAATCAATAAATTGATGGATGTAGCCGTTACTACGTGGTAGGAAATCTTATGAAGAAAAGAGAATTGAAACTTATACATTAATGTATAAGTTTGAAAATTTCCTTATAAGACTAAACTGTAGTAACATTAGTTACAAAAAAAAAGTGGTATAAAAACACATCAGAACAGTTCAAAGTTTTCTAGAATAGAAAATATAGCTTTTAGAGTGTGTTAGAAATAAGTTAAAATGTAAATGCAGTTGAGATGCGTTTTTAAAATTAATTTCTTTTTTATTTTTTTTATTATCACTTGTCCATGAACCTTAAACTTTAAAAGAATAATAAATATTAATATTGATTAATGATGAAAGTATGGTTGAAATATGTTGACACCTTTATAGGCGAATCCCAAGTAAATTAGTTAATGAATATTTGGCAAGAGGTTATTTCTAAATGAAATGAAACACTGTATTCAGACCCATATTCAAAAGTGATGATGCTGAAGATCCGGAAAATCGCAGGCCAATGGCTTTATCGAGTATATTCTGTGATTTGTTTTCCATTTGAAGAAATAAATAGGTGATTTCCTCAATAAGATATTTGTATTCAACCCAAATCAGTATGGTGTTCAAAAAAACAATGATACTTTCATAAACTAGACCTCATGATTTGATCTCCACAAACTTTATTTGAAAAATATATATGGAAGGAAAAAATCACATCGTTCAGTAACCTCTGCAGAGAAATATAAAGTTAATAAATCGTGTTACCTCACCTTTGAGGGGCTTTTGATGAATAACTAGAAGGTAATTGGCCCAGATTTTGTCTGAAAATAGATACATTTTTTATTCTCTTATCCAATTAACAAAACAAAAAAAATAGAAAATTTCGTTATTAGTGTGATCTGTACTATGGGAAATTTTCCTGTTTGAGGGGATTTGTGGCTCACATGTAAGTAATTCCCACACCTTTTCCAAGTAAAAAAGGTACACCTCCTCAACAACGCTGGCGGTGATCGTTTTCGAGATATTTACAATTTTCTATATCGATGCATATTACTTTATAGCCAAATTTGATTTCAATATTTTTTGTCACTCTCCGCTTGCAAATTAAGTTAATTAAATCGAGTAGGCTATGAGAGTTTGTTTATAAAAATAAAAGTTCGTCACATTTTCAACTAGTAATTGACAAATTCACAGTTCGGAGTTTATGAAGTGATTTTTTGGTACCATGCCCGACTTTACGAATGCAGAAATGGCTGATATGGTTTTTACATACAGCTTGGCTGATGGAAATTCAAGCGAAGCCAGACGCATCTATCAGGAAAGGTATCCCCAACGCGTGACTCCTCCTTGTGCAGCTACATTTGCGAATCTTTTCCGGAGAGTTTCCGAATCTGGAAGCTTTAAAACAAATTCGGCAGCAGGACAGCCACGGACTACAAGAACTGTAGAATTAGAGGAGGCGGTTCTCGAAGAAATTAGTGAACGTCCAGAGACAAGTACAAGAAAAATTTGTCAAACTTTAAATGTGAGTCACATGACAGTTTACATAATTTTAAAGGAACAGCAATTATATACTTATCATATTCAGCTTGTCCAGGCACTTACGCTATGTGATTTCCAACCACGTATCGAATTTGCTCAATGGCTTCAAAGAAAAGTAGTACAACATCCGCAAATTTTATCGAAAATCATCTTCACAGATGAGGCTAATTTTTCAAGAAATGGTATCATGAACTTCCATAATAACCACATCTGGGCGGAAGATAACCCACATGTGATAACGCAAACTCATTTCCAAGACAGATTATCTTTTAATGTATGGGTAGGCATAGTTGGGGATTATTTAATTGAGCCCTATTTTCTTCCCTTACGTTTGAATGGAGGTGGTTACCTACATTTTTTGGAACACGAGCTTCACCAACTTTTGGAAGATGTTCCCATTGGCCTCCGAAATCACTAGTGGTTTATGCACGAAGGAGCTCTTGCTCATTTTAGTGTGATAGCAAGAAATTTTTTAGGCGTAGCATATCCCCAACGATGGATAGGAAGAGGAGGCACTAAGCATTGGCCCCCGAGGGCCAATGCCAACACTCCGGGCATTTTTCAACGGGTGCGTAATTCTTTGATGAAGAGGGCAGAAGCTTGTATTACTGTTGGGGGTCGTCACTTTGAACAGTTGTCGTGATAGTTGTTTCGTTCAATTTTTATATGCTTATTTTCCTAATAAATAACATAGTACTTCTCCGAATTGTTTTTTTACAAACTCCGAAATGTAGCACNTATGTTTAAATTAAGTGTATATAAACTTTACAATTTGCACAAGTATTATTGTCCAAGGTCTAAGAATGCTATGGAAGTTATCTTACCTTTGTAACATCTTCAAATAATCCAATTTCTGGGATAAGGAAGGATTCTTTACTCCACTGAAAAATAAAATGATTGTATAACCAACCTGATAAAAACAATTCATTGAATGAATACGGTCATCATTCAAGGAAATTAGGGTAACATTTTCATTTGCTTTGATTCAAGAGAAAAAAAATTATGCTTATGAGGAAAGAAACGAGCTTTGTTAATTCTGTTTCATATGGGGAAACAATGATCAATATTAGGAACCATTTTATTTCTCATTTACAAAAATTCTGTCAAATTTACTAATCTGGAGAAAAAGTCATATTTATTTGCAGACATTACAACAATAATTGAAAATAATTGAAAATATAATAAATGACTAATGAAATTTCGTCATGGCTTTCAAATCATAAATTACCTTAAAACTATTCCAAATCTTCATAAATATATATCCAAAGAATGCCTTTCAAGTTCTCATAAATAATATTTATTATTCGACAGTGAATAGATTAAATATTCATCTAAAAAAAATTTTAGGATTCCATATTATTAAAAATGTATCATGGTCTAAACATATTAAAATGTTGAGAAAAATAATATCTCCTGGCTGTACACTATCAGAAACCATGCTCGTTCATGTATAAATACGCCTGAGGAAGCTTTTTTGCAGCAAAACACGTAAACAGTCCAGTGACAATCTCACAATAAAGTATTACTTTATTGATAGTAACAGAAGTTTATTGATAATTTGAAATATGTGTTCAATGAACAATTTAATGAAAAACTTACTTCAGAAGTTTTTTAGATGAGGCAGTCATCACCCGAAGACGATTGTTGATACTAACAACGGAAACGTCGTGAAGTAACTTGGCTTGAAATCTCCTAATTTTTATTCATTTTCAATTGTTTATTGTATTTTATTTTACTTTAATTTCAGTTCAGGTTTTTTTTGCTTAATAAAATTGTTTTTTTTCAGTTATTTTATATCATATTAGACAATGGAAGTTCGAACTTATGAAAGACTTCACCATGAAACATGTACATAACAAACAACATGAACATAACAAACAAATGTTTTTTATCTCCTTCATTTTATTCCTCGTTGATATGTATTATGTTACCTTACCTTTGAGGGGCTATAGATGAAGANAATTCTACGATGGACCTTTACCGATATAAAAGGCCGGCTTCTTGTCCAGAGAGGGTAGTTGAATTCAAAAAGTGAATCGTGAGGTTAAACAAGGAATTCAAATAGTGGAAATAAATTAAGCGTTAGTTCGTAAGTGTTGTAAATAAATTAGTTTGTGATAATGAAACATTGTTGGAAATAAATTTGTTTGGGTCGTTTAATTCTTCAATTTGTTACAATAGACTTCCATTTTATGAAAGTGAATCAATAGCTATATTAATCTATTGCTATAGATTAATTATATATCTACTTTAACGTTAACTTGTATAATATTTTCAATATATTTTTTTTCAATTTCCGTTGATATTGAGATATTGCAATTTTATATTTCTTAAATATATTTCAAATATATCAAAACTACATTGCAATTATTATTTTGTCCTCATCGCAGCCGTAGTAAAAAATTACATTCACGTGCTTTTTTGTACATTAACCAAACCTCGGATTGGAATATAGTTTAAAATTCCACCTTGTGAAATCTTATGAAATCAAATTGTTATCATACTTTACCTTAACAGTGTTGGAGGTACCATTGTTTCAGTTGAAAGAGCTTCTCTTTGGCTAAAAAGTCAGTAAATTTTTCATTAGCTCAACAAATAGCAATATAATAACAGAATTACTGATTCAAATCACTTTCAAGATCTGATAGAGAAAAATAATGCATCAGAAATGTTTAGTTGAATTACTCAAATGTGATTAATATATTCCCCAAATAGAAATTACTTTAACAACTTGATAGTATAGTTATAAGTTACCATTAACAGATTGTACCTGCATTACAATACAATTGAATATTGAATCATTGCATAATGGACTGTTACGAATGTAACTACTGTTCAAAATATAATCCTTTATATTTTATTATTCAGTGTGCAAAATATTATATTTTCACTTATGAATACATTTGAAATCTGGCTACGAGGCGCAAATTATTCTATGGGCTGTATAAGGAATTAAAAATAAGCAATACTCCCCCTGGTTTCAATGTTGTGAACTAAACACTAGTACATTGTTTACCTTGGTAGTCATTAACAAGAATGTATTTTTGCGAGTGTTATATTAATTCTTCAAGTGAATTGTTGGAGATTTGTCGATTATCACTTTTCTAGGTTCGAATAAATATGAGAAGTTGAAACCCTCAGTACTATACGTCCCTCAATGTGACTTGTGAGCAAATGATCTCAATGCAGTGACATCAATTTTCATTATTCTCCCCGAAAAAATCAATTTCAAATTGTACTAGTTTAGGATTGAGAGAGTATGTAGATGAACGAAAGTTCTGAATAAATACGTTAAAAATGCAGAAAATTGTCTCCACTATTTCATACACCTTGTATAATTGAAAAACCTTCAACAAATAGGTTTCAGTTTATACAAATCTTTTATACTCTAAGCTCACTAACCTAAATCAAATAATTACCAACAAAAATAAGTAATTTTTGTTATAAAAGGACCAAATTCAGAAATCATACGCAAGTATAAAATATTGATGAAAGTCAACGCAAAACATTGGAAGTCAAATTTCCGAATCCAAACTAGTTTTGAAAAAATTGGGAGAACTTGTATGGTTTCTGAAAAAAAGTTAAAGCACCTATGAAAAATCCACATAATTTGAAAATCAACACTTTTTGTACTTGTGATGCACTGTTTGGAACCTTTGGTGTAGTAATGAATATTACTGAAGTTTTATCCTAACACCAAACCATTATTTTAACACCTCGACACATATTTCGATCACCAAATGATCATCTTCAAGAGGAAGATTAAAGTGTTTAAAACAAAAAGTTCTCTTTATCTGGGAAAGAAAGGTTTTGGATTTCAACTCCTACATCTTGATACAAGAACATGTGGGAATCTTCCAGAGAGTGGAAAGAAGCAATCAATTTCAAAAAAGTAATTCTATACAGAGATATGTAGTGTAGACACAAACTGGAAGAAAAAGCCTTCTCGAAACAACTATTTTTATATTAACATTGAATTACACGAATGAAAAATACTTTCGAAACTAATACTTTTATATGAATTATCCAAAAAAAACTTTTCTCTATTCAGTTTGTATTCCGAACATTCGTTATGTAATTGAATCAGATATCATTCACAGGATATCAAGGTATTATAGTGTTGTAAATCATGTCCAAAAAAAAAAATAACGCCGGCCGCCACTGGTAGCCATAAACCAATGGTGACGTAGCTAAGGGCGCGCGAATGTAAGATGTTCCTTACCAATCTAGAAGCAGCGAGAATAATGCCACCGATTTCGACGGAACTTCGACGAAATTTCTACTGCATTCGATTACGATATATAAACGATTGCCTCGAGCATATCGAGACAATCAATCTAGTAAGGCGATAGACATTCATATAATAGCTGAAGTTTTAGTTTGTTGTATTTCAAGTAGAATAAAGTTAAGTTTGATTATTCAGTGTAGTCAATTATTGGTCAACCCACGGGGAAAACCGTAACAATAGCAAGAAATAATTTTTTAGATTTATGATATCATTGTTTACTTAGAAAAAACATGTAAATACTTGTCTTCCCTTCAGTTTTTCGAAACAAATAACTACTAACGAAATATCCAATCTCCAATAATATATGTCAACCTGTAAACACTAATACCATGACGAAGTAGAGCACAAAACAAGCCATACTGCGCTTAGGTGACTATTTCTGCTTTGAAAAGGTAATATTGTATTGAAATTGTGTTTTTGAAGATGAATAAATCTGAATCTGAATTTAGTGTTCACTAAGAAATATTTCTGTACAATAGTTATATTTCTGCAAATTGCCAAACCAATGACAAAGGGATGTGATCAATAAAAAAATGAAGAGAAAACCCATTGCATTAAAATGTTTAGGAAATTCACAAATTACCGGGGAAAATTAGGTAGAATGAGGCAGCAGCAAATTGGAAGTAAAGAATAAAAACTTCACAAACATGAAAGAATTGCTATAGCTCTAGAATTCATAGATATACTATATGTAGCTTCTTATGTTATAGTTTATTAGTTTTTCCAATATTTGTTATTTAAAGCGAGTGGTTTCTATTTTTCTTTAGATAATGTTCAGAACGTTGTTTTTCACAACTCATTTTCATTTCAACAGCGTTTAGTTTCTATCTCTTTCATGTTGTGATTGAAAATACAAATTGAAGAATGTAATTTATTATGTTGATAAAGCAAAATAATTTTTTATTATAACATATCTCTACACTACCTTCGGAATAAATTAACTACATACTCGAGAACCAGTCCCCTTGGAGACAACTATAATTTTAATTTTATGTTTAAATTAAGTGTATATAAACTTTACAATTTGCACAAGTATTATTGTCCAAGGTCTAAGAATGCTATGGAAGTTATCTTACCTTTGTAACATCTTCAAATAATCCAATTTCTGGGATAAGGAAGGATTCTTTACTCCACTGAAAAATAAAATGATTGTATAACCAACCTGATAAAAACAATTCATTGAATGAATACGGTCATCATTCAAGGAAATTAGGGTAACATTTTCATTTGCTTTGATTCAAGAGAAAAAAAATTATGCTTATGAGGAAAGAAACGAGCTTTGTTAATTCTGTTTCATATGGGGAAACAATGATCAATATTAGGAACCATTTTATTTCTCATTTACAAAAATTCTGTCAAATTTACTAATCTGGAAAAAAGTCATATTTATTTGCAGACATTACAACAATAATTGAAAATAATTGAAAATATAATAATTGACTTTAATGAAATCTCGTCATGGCTTTTAGATCATAAATTACCTTCAAACTATTCCAAATCTTCATAAAATATATCCAAAGAGTGCCTTTCAAATTCTCATAAGTAATAATTATCATTCGACAATGAATAGATTAAGTATTCATCTAAAAAAAAATTTAGGATCATATACTAATAAAAATATATCATGGTCTAAAAACGTTGAAATGTTGAGTAAAATATTATCTCCTGGCTGTACTATACACAGTCAGAAACCATGCTCGTTCATGTATGAATACGCCCGAGGAAGCTTTTGCAAAGCGGAACACGTAAACAGTTCAATAAGCAGAAGTTTATTGATAATTTCAAATATGTGTTCAATGAACAAATGAATGAAAAACTTACTTCAGAACAGTTTTAGATGAGGCAGGATTCAGTCTGATCGTTTTAGAGTTTTGTGCTTTCCTGAAAATAAAGTTCGTCAGCTTATTAGAATACAAAACCATCAATTATTATAATAATAATCGTTGTTACAATTATAGGACAATTGTTTCTCACCTATGCAGAATTTCAGTCAATCTTGGGTGTGCTTTCTCATTTGATGAAGCGGCCTTTTTTTTACTGAAATTTAAAAAATAACAACCCATACAAAAATGCCTCAAATAAAAGAAAAAAATTTATATTTTCCAGAACTGTGTACCTATTTACTGAATAAGAGTTTAGGAAAAAATCGCTGAGTTTAAAGAAATGTCAACAGGAAATTTTTATGTACTCCTCCAAAAATGCTTGTATACCTAATGAATTAATACAGGACCTTGTGATAACCCAGTAAGTAGTATCGAGATCCAGATTTTCACCTCTTGAATGTAAATGATTTTGAAATATGATTGCCTGCTTCCCTGTCTCCATTTCAAATAAAAAAATCTGATTTTAGTTACTCATTTTTATTGTATTAGGTTGTTTCAAAAGTTTTTTCCGTTCTAATGTTATGAGAAAGATAGGGAATTGTCTGAGAAAAAAAATTCTTATTGACAAAGCGTATCTTATGTCAGTAGTTTAAAAAATGGACACATAACAGTCAGAAAATATTCCTAAATTATTCTAAACAAGACATATAACAGCATGAATTAGTCCAAAAATAATGAATGAATATACATAATATCAAATGCTACATCAGACCAGGGTAATTACACATAACACAAGATGACTTTAGTATTGCAATTGAATTTGATTCAAAATGTTTAATTAAAAAAGGCAACAACACAGTAGTATAGTTTCCCACTGAGTAACGTTTTCAATGATTTTTCAAAAACGTTGAGCTACCAGTGATAGATTATTAAATATTTTACCCGTCACAGTTCCGGCACAGAACGGGTACCGTCCCGTCACAGAACTATTCGTTTCGTCTGTTCCTACACACCCGGAATGCCTCATTCTTCAGCGACCAATCTGTTTAAAAGATGGCAAGTTTCTCGGATGAAGAATTAGCAATTGCTATATAGTTGGACGAAGAAGAAAAAGCGGAAGCAAACCAAGTAAAAAAAAGACGAAAATGGATTCATGACGCATGGAAAAAAAGAGATATCGAAGGAGAATACGCGACACTGTATAAATAACTGCTTCGTGATGATGTAAAATTTCATCAATATTATAGGATGTCGAAAAATTGCTTTAACGTATCGTTTTCAAAAATTAAAAAATAAGATACACACACTGGAGAAGAGCTATTTCACCGAGGCAGCGTATGGCAGTTTGTTCAAGGTTTTCTTCCAAATATTATTTTTGGCATTAATGTCCATATATTTTGCATGCGACAAATCAAATGAAACATATTTTCTCACTCACTTGTACTGCCCAACATGTTTCCAGCAAAACAAAAAATTATCGTCGCTGAAATTATAAAATCGGTCTAACGGTAGACGGGTCGAAACCTGTCTGCTTGGAAACTGTTCGACAATGGATGAATGTGAACGCCGGTGGCATATTTCTATTAGAGGATATTTTTTATGACGGATTGTTCCGTTCGGCGCCGGAACTGTGACATGACGGGACTGATGTTTTGAATCGACCTTAAATATGTATTCTATTGTGTCATGGTATATGCTGATCGATAAAGAATTTTGTACTCAATACATTGATGCTGTTCATTTTTCCAAATTTTCATTTTTTACCCCTTTTCAAATTGAACCAAAGCGCTGGATTTGATGACCCTGGTGAAGACTAACAAATGGTGCTTGGGATGGCGGAAGAACTGGGCGTCAGCTTCCATGCGTTTTTTAATGGTTTGAAATGTATTGGAAAAGTCAAAAATTTGGAAAAGTGGGTGTCCCACGATTTGAACGATGGACAGAATTTGTCGGGTTTCGAGGTCTATTCTTCATTTTTTTTGCGCAACCAAAACAATAAAATTTGAAAAAAAAATGTCCACTGAAATTGTTGCCCGACCATCATATATTTACTCAACTGAATATAGTCTGAAAAATTGACAATTATCTTCTAGCGGGGAGGTGATAGAAGTTGTGGAGGCCGGGTTTGCAGAACAGAATGAACATTTGTTTTTAAAATCTAGTTGAGTGGCAGGTTCGCTGTTATGAATGTACTTATTCAATTAAGAAGAGAGTATATTAAACGAGAAAATAATTCATAGAATAGAAATGTATTTATACTGAACAACAAACAGAATGGTTTCCACTTACATGATGCACAGTTTTTTTTAGTACCTTACATATAGTATTCATTGAGTACCATCGATACAGTTAAAATCGATATAAAATATAACAATATAAAACAATACATAATAAAATGACCGTAAAAATTTCAGACACATTTGAGCATTCAAAGGAGTTGTCCCTTTGTAATACTGAATATATCCAGTTCACAGTTCCTCACCATTTTGTTAACGGTTTCGAGACGTTGTTGAAGAGGAAACAAATTGTTTGAGACACGAAATAGATTGCCTCTTCTTCTCAGTCTTACGTCAAGTACAATAAAATAAATAGTATAGAGAATTTCAGGTACGTTCAGTTTTCTAAGAATGTTAAAAACAAAAATCACTTCCGAGGACTCACGACGGTCTTTCAATGGTTGCATATTAAATTCTTGTAATTGGCTAGAATACGATATAAAAAAAGGCCAGACATTGTGTTTTCTGAAAAAGAGTGTTCTTAATAATCGTTTCTGGACTTTTTCTATAGTATCAGAATATAAAAAGGTCTTTGAATTTCAAATGACCCAACTATAATCCAGCTTAGAACGAACAATGGAGTTAAGAGTAACAAACAAGTATTGTGATTGAATTCACAGCTAGTTCTTAAGGCAAAGCTCATTTTTCTATAACATTCAGATACTAAGTATTCAATGTGTCGAGAGAAACTGAACACACCAGTAAAAATGATCCCGAGATCTTTCACCTCATTGATTCTCTGTAAATTGGTATGATTAATGAAATAGTCCTTGATAGTGGGTGACTTCCTTCGTGTACTGTATGTATTAACACAGGTACTTAACTCAATTGAGTACCTGAATTTTTTTTGCCTGTGACAATGTGGGTACGCTAATTTGATAACCGATGAGTAATCTAGATCGATTTGATTATTTAGCAGCTTACATCCGCAATGCTGATGCTTATGAATTTCCAAGGATTCCAAATAATTGAGTTTTCAACCCTTCTTGTTTAGTTTAGATTGGGTTTGAAAACGTTGAATTATTTTTACCTAGTCTGAAGGATCTTTCGGCCACATTGCCCTACCTAAACACTATTATACTTCGGACACTTAAGCTTATAAACCTCAGATTTCTCCATCTTGTCCACTTTATCTTTGGCATTAAGAAGGAAATTAGATAACCTGGCATATGTGTGCCACTTCCACGTTGTTTCTTCTGAAAAATCCCGCAATTGGGTTTGCAGTAACGTTAGTTACAAATACAAGTAGTATAGTTAATTTACAAGGTATAAGGCATATTTTGCTTTAGCCGTTTTTCTTTGTAACTGTATCGAAATGAGGAAGAAGGAAAAGATTAATTGCTTTTTGATTATTTAAAGAACAAATCTAAAATGAGACTTATGCAGAATGCATTAAAAGGTTTACTTATTTTATAATAGATGTCTTGGTGCATGCTACTTCTGTGCACACTACATAAAAATTATAAAAGGTTAATGTATTGTAAAAATATTTCTGAGAAAAGCTACTCATGCATATAACGCTGAAATAAATTAAATAACTTTGAAAAAAAAAGTGCACTAGTCACAAGTACTCAAGCAAACAAGTGAAAATTTTCTCAATTTCCTTTCTAATGGAGGTGCGCAAGCACTGCAGAAAAATTCTCAATAAGCTCTAAGAGCGGTGTCTATGCCCAAGGTCTACTCCAAGGTTCTGTTCTCGAACCACTACTTTTTGAAATGTACATAAAAACCCCGTGTGACACTCCTATCATCACAAACACATTTTTGTTTTTTTTATTTCGAATCAAATTTGATGCCCTATACAAATAATGTACATAGCGGAAAACATTGGAAACTCCTATTTATTGCACATAGTATAACGCCCCTGACAACTCTGTTCATTTACATTTTGTTACAGGTTATCCACAAATTATGTAATTCCCTCAGGACTCGGAGTAATATTCTCAACTCCAACACTAGAGGCACTAAGCACATTCAAACAAACCGCTTCAAACTTTCTAACTTTCTGTATCTCAAAAAAAAAATTCATCGAATCTCAATCTGCACACCATACTTTCGCAGCAAATGAAAAATTTTAGTTTGAATAAACAACGAAAAATAAAGCGATACGTCTTCAAATATTTTTATTTCCTTGAACAACTTCAACATGCCAATTTGGAAGAATTATCTTCCTTTTAATGAAAAACTGGACATTGTTGATTTTTTTCAAGGACAAAACAAAATCCTAGAATATGTAAATGGTGGAGAATGCCCAGCCGTGATTCTTTGTGATTTAAGTAGACCATTTGACTGGGTTGATCATAAAAAACTTATTTCAAAATTAGAAATGTATGGTATAATCATTATTTCTGGAAAATAGAAAACAATATGTGTCAGTTCAAGTTGAGAGGAAAAATGAAATCTATAGAGTCAATTCTGAATATTTGAATCTAAGTATGGGAGTGCCACAGGGTTCAATAATGGGTTATACACTGTTTTCGATCATATCTAATAAGTCAGACACTTAGAAAAGAGATTATCAAGGTGTGATAGAAGTGACCGATACTTGATGAAAATCCACTATACAATATTCAAAAAAACACTTAATAGTGGTAATTCCACTTGCGGAAATCAAGTGGAAATCTCACTCAACCTTCAGTGGTTTATATTACGCTGTGAACTTTTCAATTTGCCCTTTATTACACTTCAGCAGATTCTCCATTGACTCAAATTTGTTTATTTTTCAGATTATGGCAGGTTATATATACCCCAAAAAACAGTAAGAAATATCGAGTCCCCCTACAAAAAAAATGTCTTTCAAAAATACAAATGTTGTTATTAATGTTCGATAATCTATTCATAAATAATGTAAAAATAAATTCAACTAAATTACACAATTTTAATTTCATATAGACATACCACCACCATCAAACAAATTATACAAACCCAGAAATTCACAAGAAATTGATTCGTTGACCAAGACAAAGCATTTTCAGCCAATCATTAAAATATACCTAAGAACATGAAAAGCCGTCTCATACCATCTCACTAAAAAACTGAATTGTTGAACGAAAAACTTCTATTCAAATACATAAAGGGTATTAATTTTGTCACTAACTACAAGACAACAATTGTAAAATTTTTATCAGAAAAAATATCTGATTCAACTGATCACATTCTACTGATCAGTTACTAATTTTTATCAAGAATTGTTGAACTCTTCCACTCAATTTTCAAAAACATATGTTTATTGGGATTATTAAAAGAAATCATAATTGTTGTCTATGCACAAAAGCTACTGTTACTCTCAACTTACCCATTCAACAGTTCTCTTAAAATGGATTGTTTCTTTGTTGGAACATGATGCTCGTCACTGATACTGCTGAAAATAATGTGTATGAACTCTCCATTTTGTAAAAGAATTTGGTGTCCATCAAGTAAGGTAAGTTTGCTTTACTGGTTTTACAACTTCGAAAGCTGAATTAAGAATTTGAGGTTCAAATTATGTTTTTGGAGATGGTAGAAGAAAGACTTACAATGCTCCCCATTTGTACCCATAGTAATACCATTTTCTCGGTGCTAATTGATACCATTCCATTGATAATCTGCTTAAGAATATTTTTTAACAGTTGAAATACTTTATAGTTCTGCGACTTAGTGCCTCATTCACCACCAATATCCTATAAACTAGTTGAGAATATAATAGAATAATTTTCTGATTGTGATTTTTCAAATCTGAGGAACTAATTACAATCAGGAGTTAGTGAGTGTGTTCGGTAATACTATGTTTTGATCAGGTAATAATATAGGATTCAAAAAAGTAGCCTAACCTTCTCTTGAATTTTAATCTCACTTTTCAAGGAATTTCCGTAAAATATGATTTTCAGGAACTCCATTTTTTCTACCACTGAAAGTAAAGCATATGAACTCCCCATTTACTTGAATTGATAACTTCATACTGATATTAAATAGCAGCAGAAATTTATTATTTATTATCTTCATTAGGGATTATAAACTAAAAATTTAAATTTTCAATAAAATAATGAAATAATGAACNTAGAAGTAAAAAAATTGAACAATTAAACAAAAAATAAAAAAATTAAGAGCTTCCAAACCAAGTTACTTCACGAATCTCTTAATTTTTTATTAGACTGTTCTATTTTTTTTACTTGTATTTTATTTCACTGCAATTTTATTTTAGGGTATTTTTTGCTTGATATTATCGTTACTTTCAGCTCTTCTTTTCAATTTGTATTGTTTCTTTCAGGGATTTTAATTCATTTTATATATTATTAGACATTGGAAGTCCAAACTATTGAAATTTTAGTTAGTGTTTTGTTATATTAATAGTGAAATAAAGTTGAGTTTCATTATTGTTCAGTGTAGTGAATTATTATTAAACCCACGGGGAAACACGTAACAATATATAATCCTATACCGACACATTATACCTCAAATACTGTTTCAAGAGATTTTTGAATTTCAAAGCAGTTGATTCTTCAATCTCTTCAGGAATTGTATCATTAATTTTTGTTTCCTCATGATAAATTCATTTCTGTCGAAAATTGGATTTGAAATTACTGATAGCATGAGGATCTTGGGACAATAAACTGAACTGATTTAAATTAATCACTTCTATCAGTGATTTATTTATCTTACCTTGAGGAAGTTGAACTGATGGACGGCGATCTGACAGCTTTCACACTATTATTTGGAATGTCATTGTTGCTAAAAGTAAAAAAAAACATAGATTTACAAATCTGGGATGATGCATGTTTGCTTTTAATAATAATAATATTTTTTATTGCAATG